TCGATAACCTATATGGAACAATTGTGATTTCCTTTAAAACTGTCAAATCAAAATATTTCATATTAATATTTATAAAATTCACGATATAAAATATACAATCGCGTTTAACGCAGAAAAATTGTAATTAAAATTACATTTGTCCAGAATGTTTTATATAAATTTTTACAAAAAGTTGTATATGTTAACGAGGTGTATATGTATGTGTTAGAGATAATATAAATTAATAATTAAATAGAATCAACAGGTCACCATGCAATCAAGCGCGAGCGTAACTAGATCATTTTTATAATTTACATATTTCTGAAATTAAACCGAAAAATATGTTTTCATTTAGCAAAAGAATTGCATTATCTATTATGCAGCAACTCGTTACTTTATTTTATGCCAGGTTCCTTTCTCACAAATAAAAGATGAAACATTAACTTTAATTGTAGTCTTTTGCACTTTCGCTGCAACGGGAAAATTTGCGCTAATTTTAATTAATTTACTTCGCTTTTATCGCTCAATCTCCATTTTCGTTCCTCCTCTTCTTTTCAGGTACTATATTACTCTTTTCCGCATCGTTTCCTTATTATATATATATATATCTCTCAAATTCTCTTCCATCTTCTAACTGCTTCTATACCTTCGGAACAAACACGATGCGGCGTAAACACAGAGTAAACCGCGGAATTACTACCGTGTTTATAAAGGAAACGGGGAAACGAGATGCGAGACAAAACACACATATATACAAGCTTATTACAGCCGCGAAGAGGCTCAAACATACTGAAAATATTAACGTTAGATATCTAACGTGAATTCAAAGTCAGTCACATGATTCGTCGCGTCGTATATCATATCTCTCTCTCTCTCTCTCTCTTTTCCCCTCGCCACGCAACAAGTCCTGAAGCACGTAGTTACGTGTTGGAACAACCTAAACTCGGTGGAATGCGTGCGCGCGCGCGCGAAAGAACCGGCTGTTCTCTCTCTTTCTCACACCTGTCTGTATTTCGAGAGACGTAGGTTTCTCCACTCGCTCGTCGAGGAAAAACGACCTCGGTCGGATGTCGCGGATGTTTTTCGCGTGGCGTGATGTGGCGCAAGGTATACGAGTGGTGTGAGTGGCGCGTGACGCGCGGCACTCACACGCGCGTGCGAGTGCGTGTCGCCGCAAAAGTGAGGTGAGACTCACGCCCATACGCTCGGCCAATCGGCGCGCGCTACGTCATCTCGTACGATGTAACGGAGCGAGTCGCCCACGTGGTCTCTCGCGCGCTCGAGCGCCGTCGCGTCGCGTCTCGGCTATTTCGGTATCGGTAGCGAGAAGGAAAGAGAGAACTGTCTCGTCGTAAAAGGAACGAGATCCGAAGAATCGTCAGACGAGTCAGCTCTCGCTCTCGCTTCTTCTCTCTTCCCCTTACTCGTTTTTATCGCATTATTATCGATTTAATTATTTATTAATCGGTCGATTACGCGCATTATGTCAGATAAAAAATAGAACTGTATGATTTGTGTCTATATTTATATTTACGTATTTAAATTTAATCATTGACGTGACGGGAGATGTGAAGATTAATAAATTCCGCCGTAAACAAGTCAATTATCTAATAACATGTTCCTATATGTACAGCGACGCGACTCGAGCTCGCGATGATGTAATCCGACGCTTGGAAAATGCGTCTGAGAATTTATTTAATCAAAACCGACGTCATATACCTACAAACAACGTCACGTAAATGCCGTTATATGTATTTATAATCGAATTAACTTAACCTGCTACTGCTCGCGGAATCGAATTGCATCGATGCGAGATTAATATTTACAATTTCTCTATCGCGTCGAAATCGGAAGCGGCGACAACAGACACTCGTATCATCATCTTGTTTGTCCATTTTCACGCGCGTCACGAGATGCAGTATACAACTAATAGATGCCCCGAATGTGAATTCAAGGCCGGCGGCGATTCTCGTCATCGCATTCTAGATGATTATTAAAGACACGTCGTAAACACAATTTGTGCAGAAACATCAAAACGGTTCTCTGACGACGAGGATAGAAAATCAATCGCACGTGGATTCTGAGCTTCGCATATATTTTATATATATATATATATATATATAAATATTTCCTTCCCCTTGAGAGCTTCTGCCTGCGAAAGCGACTTTAAATTTGGAACTCGATAATTCCAAACGTATACATGTGTGTGCTCCCGCTCAATTTAGATCGAGTTCTCTCTCGCGTACCTACACGTGTCAGTCGTTTATTTCAAGAACGCCGTAAAGATCTGTATATCTTCTTGGTTAATCGATAATAACATATTTTAAATTGCACAATCGAGCGAGTTCCTTACAATTGATCGTTGAAGTTCGCGTAGATCGATTCTTTAAATTTCATAGCTTGGAAAACGTATATATATGAGCACGTTTCACGCGCATTTATTTCAAAGATGCCATCAAACTGGTTCTTAATCGACGTGATAAATTTCTCAAGTCTCTCGTAATCGTCGCGACATTAATCCGCTATTTGAAATTCCGACACGTGTCGAAAATACGTCGATTACATTTCATATATATGAACGAACGAGAGCAATAAATTTCACACTTTTTATCTCGACTTATACTCGAATTGTCATTGTTTGAAAACTTAATTTCAAATATAATTTTGACAGCAAGAGTGTCATCTCTGTCTCCTGTCATCGCAAGTTATCTGATGCGAAGGGGAAAAGAGATTGACGCGCGTTTTTTCATCGTATCTAATTAATATTTCGCAAGATTTTTGCAGTCGATTCGCGGATTTTCATTCGTAATTCTTTTCAATCGCCGAGTGGATTTTTTCGGTCGCCCATCGACACTGACAGATTAATGGCTACTAAAAAAAAATCGATTCGCCTCGCTATCGAAATAAACGAATCCCTCCCGGAACGAGAGAGAGATGTGAAGGCAAGAGAGAGTCGGACGCGACTAATTGTCGGAAAGCTTTCCTTTGTTCTTTAAAATAGTCGGGGGAGGAGATTATCTATCTAAACCCCTCAATAATTTTCGGTATACGTCACGTCGAAACGGATACGAAAGATAAGGCGAACAGGATGTGCGCGCAAACTTATCTGCGACCTAATTCGATAACCCTTTGCCGGGTCGATACTTTGAGACTTTTTCGCTCGTGTCAATCCACGCTCTAAATTAAACGTCTCGATTTTACAGCGAGGCTAATTACGTCGGTATCCCCAAACGAGGCTGAATTAAGCTCCGCAGCGAGACATTTTCCGCGCGACAATTTTCCCACCTTTTCTTTTTTCTCCTCTTTTTTTACGACCGTTCTCGCCGTTAACTTTAACCGTAGTTTAACCGATCGTTTGTTCCTCTCTCGCAGGAGCGGGAAATCGCTTCGACAAAGTTAATTTCGCCCGAGATTAATTTCAAGCATAATTTGAAGTCTCGTTAGAAATATTTGCACAAGTTCGAGGATTGAAAGATCTCCTAAAAGAGACGTGACCAAAACCAAGGTGACCGAAGATTTGAGAATCTCATTAAACTCACCCAGCCTCGGGCTACACGAGCTCTTTCATCAAATATATATATATATATTTTTTTTTTTATTTCAGATTCTAATTTTATCGGAATTTGACATCGTTGACATTTAACCGAATGCTTTCGCGCCGCGTCAGCTGATCGATAATTTCGCGAAACCGACAAACGTCATAAAATTCTCGCGGACGAAATGACTAACGATTCATCTCCCTTTTTCGCTTGTTCTTATCGCAAATTTGCGACGTCGCATCGTGCGCGACCCGCTTTAATCTGTACGCCGTCGATCCTCCTCCTCTCTTCCTCCCCCTCCCTCCGTTATGCACTTGAAGCTGCGTCCTTGACCTAGGTTTCGCGAAAGAGAGAGACCGAGGTGTCGCGCGCACTTATTACGTTCATTCCGAAACTGACGTAAGCAAAAGAGCAATAAATAATCACTGCGGTGCTAACTTTGCGTTTCGTTTCGCTAACGCGCGCGTTCTACATTAAACCAAAACGTGATATATTTATTATTCTTTATTATGATTATATTTATTATTATTTATTATGATTATATTTAATATTATTTATCTTTATAAATTGGATCTAATTACATATGCATTTCATTGATCCACTGCGTGAATTCCCTGTGTTGCCATACAATTTAAAGACGCATTTGGCCGTCCGATGCGATGATATAAATATCGAGCGCGATGATTCTGTTATTTTTCCGAGAATCTGCTCGAATACATGCGAAATTGTACGCGCGTGATTCGTCATGAATGATAACGAGGAAAGCTTCGTGTGTATAACGAGCCGGTGCGATGAAATAATTATCACGTAAATATATATATAACAATCCTTTCCGGAAATACCTGCATTCCGGAATCTTTAAAGGTTTTTTTCACGCACCTCGGACGTACTGTCAACGCAATACCAGTCACAAGAATAGACGAAGCACGTGACGACGACAATGGTTATGTCAAGGAGGGAGAGTCCGGATGCGGAAACGTAAGGCGATTAGCGAAAAAACGAGGATTAGTTCGAGAGATTTCGAGAAAGCGCCAACTTTTTTATGTATAGGCGCATGTTGAAACGATAATCGAGGAAAGACTCTCATGGTTGATAGATTTAAAGACGAAGCTCGGGAAATAAAAAGGTGAATAAATACTATAATTTTTAAATAGATATGCGTCCTCCAGATTTTATATATTGTACATCGAACGTTCCGAAGATTCAGCATTGCTCACAAAAAATATATCTATATCCAATTAAAAGATCTCCGAGAATGACATACAAATTTGTCCGTCTTACTTTCTACACTCAACGAGAATCAAATGTGCTATATATAAACACGAGAATGTAAGAACTGAATATTCGAGTCCGCGTAAAGACAGATAAGAGACAGAAAATGAAGTAAATAAATGCGGAAGATTACGAGAACGTAACGTCGTTCTTAAATCATCGGCTTTAAGACGCCGGAGAGAACAAAAAAAAGAGCTGAACAATACTCACGAGAATAAAGGGCGGTCATGAACAGCGCGACCCAGGACAACAGATTCTCCATAGATGTTTTCATGTTCTAGCCCACTCTCGCTGGAGAACTCGCTGTTATACGTACACGCGGGGTGTAGGTAGTAGTATATAGTAGTTGAACGAGAAAAAAAAAAGGTCCTTCGTAACTGAAAGTCGGCGCGGCTACAACGACGCAAGAGAAAGAGAGAGAGAAGAAATCTAGAAAGTGTATATAACTGTGACGTCGAACACACGCACGTATATATGCCCTTTACTCGGTCTTGGAGTTCTCTCTCCTTCCGCGAGCCCTTTCCGACGCGACACAGCGATCTCCTGGACACACCGCGCGAACAAGCGTGCACCGACTGACTGGTGAGTCGCGCCGCGCCGCGCGTCGCGCCGAGTTTTCGAAGGCGCCAGCGCGCATGCGTCGATCGCTCACGCCACCGGTCGCGCGAATCTGTCCGTCGTCCTCTTTCTTTTCGTTCGCGGTCTCTCTCGTTCACCAAAGCGAGTCTCCTCGCGCGTCATCGTCGTCATGCACCTTCGTCGCGGTCGCCGCTGGCGCCAAAGTAGTTACAGCACCCGTTCAACTGGCGTGAGATTTTATTAATCGAACTCTCTTCTTACGAACGCGAGAGTCAAAGCGGCGACGAGAGAGAGAGAGAGAGAGGAGAACGCGAGCTTTCGCGCGCTTTTCGCAGCCCGGTCTTCAAAAATACCTGTCACCGAAACAATTATTTTCGAAAAATGCATACTTTCTAAGATCTATTATATTATATAATAGGTATTTTAATAAATAAGGATACTTCCCTCTTTATGTGATGCTTCTTGGAATATCTTCTTAAACTAAAAATATATTCTTTAATTTTAAATAATAAACTGATGAAAAATATTAAGTATATATTCTTACATGTTACGAATATCTAATAAGAAAATCTAATTAAAGATAATTTCTTTAGAAAATTTTCTTCTTAATTTGAGAAGATTCTCTTGACGCCTATTTAGAGGAAAATATTATAAAGATAAATGCCATATACTTAAGAAAAGAATACATTTGTTAGGATACCTATATTGTATCTCCGCTTTACTACTGTAATCTCGTAATTTTTAACTCAATTTTTAATAAAACGCATATATAGTATATATATGTGTGTGTGTGTGGAAAAATTTCAAAATTGGCAATAGAAAGAGTCATGAATTTTTGGTGCAATCTGTTGAATTCGAAAGTTCGAGATCTCGAGTAAACTTTTAGAGAAAAAATATGAAAAGAAGAGACGAGATTCAGAAAATTCTACTCATATTTAATCTTTCGTTCTTTTTGGAAATTTAAAAAATCGTCAACTATATACGCGGAATTTTCTTTTCAAATTTACCTAAAAATCATGGTAATCGTGGGACAATATGTTATTAGAAGAATTTTATAAGAATTTCTCTAATTTATAATATTTAACACAATAAAAAATTAATCAAACTTGTTTTATATATATCTTATATGGTAAATTATTAATATTTTTTATTGTGATAAATATTAATCAGAGAAACTTATAAAATTCTTCCAATATCATATTATCTCGATTAACATAATTTTCAGCGTGAATTTCAATATAAAAATATATTAAATAATAAATTAAAAAATTTATAAATTAATTTCTAATTTATTTTTTTGTAAAAAATACATGGAAAGAATTTTCTCTTAGAATTTACCCTGAAAATCATGACAATGAAAGAATTTTATATAAGAGTTTCTCTGATTAACATTTACTATACAATTATAAATAATATTAATATATGTATACATAGTAAAATTAATCAAACATATTTTATACCTTATGATAGATTATTAATATTTTTTATTGTGGTAAACATTAATCAGAGAAACTCTTATTTCTTCCAATACCATATTGTTCCACGATTACCATGATTTTTAGGGTAAATTCCAAAAGAAAATTTTCTCTACGCGTACGAGAGTATTCATTATGCAGGAAAATAAATAGGAAATATAAATAGGGAATAAAAATAGGAAATAAAAATAGGAAATAAAAAAAGAAGGGAGGACAACTATCCTACATCACGTGGCATTTTGTTCACGGCCGTGTCGCGTGCAGCATTCGAGATAGATAGAATTTCGGAAAACCATTCTCGAATCTATTCCCAGGAACGGAAGATCGCAGGATAGAAAAGAGTCTTGCTCGATTTTCATTAAAAGTTTCTTAGCGTTGCCAGTATGTATGGCGAGTTTTCCAAACTTTGTCGGCGCCATTCGCAGAAACTCCCCGTGTATGAAAGTAGGAGTAAAAAGCTGCTCCGTTCTCGCTCCACTATTTCGCCGAAGGCAGGTTTGTTCGACGTATATTACCTCGCTCTTTATAATTGTCGTGCAAATTGCATCGTAAAACGTCTGTATAATTTCATTGAATCATACTTGAACATCCGCGGGGAAGAAAATGATTTTCGCAAGGTCAGCGTGTGTCATTAAAAATATAATCGTAAAGTATAGAAATTATTACAATTTGTATGTCAAAGTAGAAAAAAAATCTCTCGACAAAGAAATACCTACTGAATATTACATAATCCGTCAATTGATGCTGAAAAGAAGGAAGGAGTAAAGAGGAAAATAATAAAAATTTAAATGTTCACACATATACATGTAAAAAAATGTCATCGCGCGAGTAATTGGAGGTAACACAACGGAAGTTAAGAAATTGAAAATTTATTCGAGAATATTTTCGTCGGATGCTGCGTGGTCCAGATCATTAATTCAGACTAGAAAGGGATAACGACGACCGTCTATCCGGAAAGGATACTCGCGCGGATCCGCGATCTTTGAGATTGAAATCCATGCAAATGGAGCGGTCCACGTTTCACGTAGTCGAACGTAGTTCTCAAGGATCAAAGAGAGAGATGGAGAACGAAGGTAGGGGAAATAAGTAAATAAAAGGACGACGCCGGGACGGCGGACGCCGACAGACGCCGAGTGACGTACGTCGATGACGGCGTAGTTGTCCTAGAAAAATTGGGGCAAGGATCAAAGGAATAAGAAAGGCCAGGAATGAGAGTCTTTGCGTGCGAGAAACGCATTCTTATACTATTGTATCGGCAGTGTTTGCTGCTATCTAAATCAAATTATATAAATAGATGATCATCTAGATGAAACTTTAGCGCCATCTCTTTATATAGATCATAAAAATATGTATTATCTATATCTGCATCTTAGATGAGAAAAGTATTATCTTGAATAATTTTCAGATAATTTTGATTTAGAATTATATAGCACATAAAATATTTAAATAGTAGACTTAAGCAGTAAGCGATAAAAATTTATAAATAAAAATATGAATACATATATTTTCATATCCTTTTTATAATTTATATTTTTTTTTAACTATGTGTTTATATAAGCAGTCTTGAAAATTATTACCCAGAAAATTATCTGGATAAGTCGCCATATATAATTTTATCTTTCATCTAGATATATTTAAAACAAAATCATCTTCATCTTATCTAAAATGAATTTACATATTTTTATCTCATCTTTGTCTATAGCTAATTTTAAAATCATCTGAGCACAACACTGTGTATCGGTCGAATTAATAATATCAAATGTAGACTAGACGTTCATGGGAAAAAAAATTAGCTACCATAGCTAAATTTTAGTTGTCCATGTATTACACATGAAATTTAGTTAGCCTAAATTTTAACTATGACAGCTAATATATTTTTTAGCTATAACATTCTCCGTTAAACTATGGCTAAAAACTATTAATTATACCATATAGCTAAATTTATATAGCGAATTCGATTAGATGCACCAGTGCGCACTGACAATGAGTGCATATACAGGTTTATCACACACAAATTCACAATGTCATAAGTAATTAAAAAAGGAAAATAATTAATAGTAAAAGCTATTATGATCATTATTCATATTGAACAACAATAATAATAGCTCTTACTATTAATTATTTTCCTTTTTTAATTACTTGTATCATTGTGAACTTGTGTGTGATACATTTTTATATGCACTCAGTGCGTAGTGGTGCATCCAATCGAATTCGCTATTGGTCATGACAATTAAATTTCAGGTTGTAATATATGTACAGCTAAAATTTAGCTATGGTAGCTAATTTTTTTCCGTGTTGCAATACTACACTGAAAAAAAATTGTTAACTTGGCTAAACCTTTCAACTAAATTTATAAATTAATAAATATTTTGTTTATATCAGTATTTAAGTCAAGTACATGTTTTGTTAGATTTAATATGTTATATTTAATTTAAATATTTCTATATGTTCAATTAAAAAAATCTTTAATCGAACGGTTTAGTCAAGTTAACAATTTTTTTCAGCGTACCAGAATCTTCGCTGCATATGATTATCGAATATTTTATTAAAAGTCTATGCATGATATGACGCATCTTTTTAAAGATAGAACGATGATGAGACAATGGGTGGTATTCAAGTCTATGTTGAATATTTAAGATCGTTTCAAGTGCGATCTTGAATCGTCTTAAGCTCCTATTCAACTAATCAAATAGCATAGCATCTCAAAGCCTTAAAGTACTTAAGACGACTTGAAAGATAAGATATTAGACTATGAATACTGACCAATGACACTTTTCAGTATATTTTCTTTCTAACATATGTAACAGATATAAATCTTTTCTCTATTTCTTTATTTTAAATGCGTCATTTTTTAAATCACGATTGAAATGTTTAGCTTGAAAAAAAGAAACGTATATATAAGAGAAAGAATAATAGTAAAGAAAAACAGAAAGTTATAATATTTCAGAGAAATATGTCTCCCATAAAACATTTATAAAACCGTAATGTAAAACAAATATTGATTCCGAGCGAATAAAATTTGAATAAAGAAGAGAAATACAAATTGATGAATTAAATTGAGATATAAAATAGTACTAAAAAATTAAATATTTTTTAATAATTAATATATTTCATATTATAACATACACATGTACAAAATATACATGTATACCATACAATACACACACTATGATCTTCCTCTTATTCTATACGTCCTGTCGATCACATCTGTCAAAAACTCGGCAAAATACGGATCAATACAACATACTCGATTCAATAAAACACGTGTCGTCGTCTTGTGTACGAGTCAAAATTTACGTATTAACACATATATTCAAGAATGATGAAAATCATCGTATAATCGCGTATTGTTCGCTATTGTACCCAAACTTGGCCGGAATACCCAAGTTATTGTAATACCACTTTACCATTCACTCCCGCGCACCAGCTGTTTAACTTTCATCAGTGGCCTGATACCTTTGTGGTATATCATCTGCAAGTATTAGCATGCAATTTTTTTGAACTCTGCGTC